TTTGTATTTTTGTATTTTTTTATATATGTTTTTTTTTTGTTTTCCGGGCCTTTTGGACCCAGGCGGCGCCGGTGTTGGTCGTCGCACAGGCTGATAATTTTTTAACAATTTTTTCTTCGTATTGTATTTTCCGTTGTCCGGGCCTTTTTGTCTCAGGCGGCGCCGGTGCTGGCCATTCCACAGTGGTCATTGCTGGTGCTGGCTTTCCTTAATGTACAGCTCTTATAAATTTAAAAATATATTCACATCACCTTATGATATTATTTTTTTTATTGATTTTCACTTCTCTTTTCAATCCGAAGATTGCACTATTCACTGTCACGGTCGCCACTTAATAAGTTCAATTTATTCAGTACATATTGAAATTTATTTAGTTTATTGCAATATGGTTATTTATTACCGCATTCCGTTCGGGGCTTGTTTATGAATTAAGTGGACTGTATTTATTTTAGTATAGGGTTCGAGTTTATTTCTTGAATACAGGCGTATATACAAAATGTTTTTAAGTGGGTGCAGGTTGCGAGCGGTTGCGGGTGCAAAACTATATAAGGATGTACTGCAATTTCGGGTATGCGTGTGAACTTAAAGCTTTGATACACAATACAAAACAATAATGTGCATTTAACTAACTACGATTAGAAAAACAATACAATGATCAGCATTTAACTAAGTGCGATTTCACAATAATGATAAATGATCGATCTATTCTTTAACATACCGGCCCCTGAACGACGGTGCAGTTCAAAGGAAGCACAGCAATTTTCGTAATGGGGCGCTTGTATTCCACTTTGAAGCATTCCTTTTGAATATCTTAGATCGGGCATATTTTAGCTCCCACGCCGACAGAAACGGCCAAAGTTGAAAGGCCAAACGAAAGCAGTAGCTGAGTATCCTCAACAAACGAGACCATGAAGTGGTTTTGTTAATCATACAGGTAAGTGAATTTCCGTCGGCGAAAATGTGTAGATTAACCTTAGGATCGGCTTTTACCTCCAGGTATGCCTCTTCTTCTGTAGACAGAAGAAACTTAGCCCTAACGGGTGGCCAAGTTGAGCGTGACTGAGATAGCCAAGCTTGTCCTTTCCACCAGATTGGATGATCTAAGAGGTCCTTTGGAAGAAATCCTCGGGATGCGCAGTCTGCATGGTTATCGCCACTTCGAATCTGTTACCAGCAGCTATGTGGGCACGTCTCTAAGATTACTGCAGTGCGGTTGCAAACATAAGTGTTCCAGGTCCGGAGAGGAGACCAACAATTGATTCTGGAAATAGGAACAGTTAATGATTGCTTGACCAGGGAAATCAACTTAGAGAGCAAATGGGCTGTGTTTAGCATATTAATTGTTGACTGCGACGCAACTGTAGATGACGGCAGCATATGCCTGGAATGATGCATCTGAAAATCCGTGCAGTTCCATTGCTTGAAGCGGTGCTGATATGTATCGAGGAACTCGACAGGTTTCAAATAAATGCATTTGCGATACGAACTGTTGCCACCGTGTACATAATTTGGGAGGTAGTACCTCATTCCAATCGACAGAGCTCAGCCAGCTATCTTGAAAGAGAATATTTAGATACACAGTTGTGGGTGCAAGCAAACCCAGCGGATCGTAAATCTTTGCTAGTTCCGAAAGCAGGATGCGTTTCGTAAGAGCGGTTGTAATTCCGGGGATTTCTAGCTTGAAGAAAATACAGTCAGCTTTTGGATCCCAACACAGTCTTAGCACTTTAACAAATCGAAATGAACTGTCCTGTCTCCTGGGGCAACGACTTCAATAGGTCGTAACTGCTTAAGAACGCGAACGGCGAGGAAAGGCGATGGAGCTAAACCATAGGTTACGGTCAGCAGTCGATAATGATCCAATCATTTCTCCAAACTATGCATTGATACTGCTTGTGTTCGTCTGGAACCAAAATGCCTCTAAACATCTTTTCAATGTCAGGGCAAAATACATAAAGATGCTGACGGAAGCGAAGGCATACTCCAATTAAATCCATTTGAATAGGTGGGCCTATGTGCAGTCGTGAGTTAAGCGAAGGACCCTTGGAGTCCTTTCCTGAGCCACAATCATTACAGCTGCCTGTAATAGCCCAACCAAAATTAAAATGTAGTGCAATAAGGTATTCAGTACCAAACTCTCGGCGATGTCCAGTATAGATGTTCCACAGTTGATCAGATAGACTAAAATAACGTCGATTTTCCCCGGTGATCCAAACGTAGGGTCAGCTAACGGTAAGTTGCGTCCAGACAGGAGTGGTGGATTTGACCTGCTGAGCGGGAATCAAGGAATTCAGAGAAGTCTTAATCAGGCCAGAGACCTCCAATGAGGCAGTCGTGGTCCTTGAAAGCAAAGTGAAGCTAGCGCGACCTGGCTAACTCCAGCCGGGTTACCACCTAATCCAACAACTGAGATGCGAGCATGCGTGCGTGGATGGTTTTTGTTGATCCAGTATCGAGCAATAACCTACATGAGGTCTTGTTGCCACATGTGCCACTTACAATGGCTACAATAGTTGACAGTAAGGCTTGGTTGTGGGCCCTCTCCACAGAATGATGGCTGACAGCAGCAGTATTCATACCAGCTTCAGGATCAATCGAAGGAAATATATTAACCTCAGCCGCAGATATATGGGCGGAGGCCAGCGGAATCGATCTAGACTCTTCCGGGTGGACTAGCGTGTGATGCTTAGCGTTGCACTGACGAAAAGTGTTCGAAGAATTACAATTCTTGACTTGATGAGATCGACTTAGGCAATTAAAACAAAGCTTAGTATCCCTGGCAAAGGTAAAGCGATTTACGACATCCAGGGCTTTGAATGCAGTACATGCGTATATATTGTGCTGTCCTTGACAATATATTCAGTCGCGAAGACTGATTTGATCCACTTGCATGATAAGCGGTTTGGCGGCTTCTACTTTGGGCTGGTCTTGGGGGTTGCATTACGTGTACATTTTGACAAGACTCCAAAGTATCACAATGCGCAAAAAGAAAAGCGAATAGATCATTTATGGTGACGTCTTCCTTGGACGACACACTGCAGTTTGCCCAAGCTTGTTTGATTTCGGCTCCTAACTTGGATAGCAAAATATAAATTAGCCACACATCTGTCACAGGCTGTCACAGTTTAGCGCGTGTAGGCCTCGAATACATTCGTCGGCAGAGTCAATTACCCTACGTAACTCTGCGGTATTCAAATTGTTAGCGGTTGGCAACAATAGAAAATTTTGAACAAATGTTCGAGCGATTAGCGTTTTCTTGTTATAACGATTTTCCAATTTATCCCACGCATCTTGGTAGTTATCATTTCTAACGGCAATATGTTTAATTAAGGAAAGTGCTTCCCCATCTAAATAAGATTTCAGATAATGAAACTTTTGGCACTTGGAAAGCTTTCGTTATTATTCACAATAATGATAAATGACCGATCTATTTTTCAACAGGGCTCATATCATCAAACTTCCGATTGACTTATGAATTAAGAATCCATTAGTTTGGCTTACAATTCACAAAGCTGCCCGTCTAACGCTTATATATCTAAAAAATGTATATTAATGTATATGTGCCGTTGCAGATCAGCGGTCAATGCGTATGCATATGTTTAGAGGCGGCGCAAGCAGGGGACGCGCATGAGAGAGAGAATGTTATGCTCACATGGTAAGCGAATGATCGGCCGCGCATGCAGACATGCCGGCTCAGTATTTAGGATGTTCAAACCATACTCCGCACTTAAAGTGCTCGGTATATTAGGACATAAACATATGTATGCCACAATGTTGCAGTGATATAAGTGGTACAGTGTGTACCCGATATTTGAGCAAACTACAAAACATAAAAAAGACGTTCAAAATATAGACAAAAAAACATGTATTATTTCAAATTAATACAAAAAGAGCAGTTTAACAAGTAACTTTTTTTTATAATAACGCCAATTTTAGAAGATACCATAAGCTTCAAAATCTATTACAAATATTTCAAATTTGTATACGTAATAAATGAATGAATCAACCACTTCAAAGTTCGGTTTTGTTGTGAAATATTCGCGATGCGCTCAAACTGCGCTGTGCACCGGCTCAAAACTTCAATTATCTTTTTAGAAAGAACCGTAAGATATCCAGAAAAATGAAGTTTGCCATGAAGAAGCTTGGACATTTTAGAAACGATTTTTTTTTACTTTTGGGCTCATCTAAATCCGCATCTAAAGCAAATGGGTGAGTTACATACAGGCTTACCGCTCTTAAACGACTAAGATTGTTTAAGGATTATTTATAGTTGCCGAAAACCGCCCAATGGCAGTTGGTTGCAAAGAAATCTGGGCTTTAACTGTCGAGGGGCTCTGCCGCTAAAAGAGTTGGCTGCTCAACCACGTGACTTCAACGAACGGGTTCCAGCGACGTTACGGCCGATGAAAACTTCCTCTCCGCCAAAGGAAACGTTCATGTACCACCAAGAAAATCGTTTTTATTAGTGCGTACACACTAACTTACTTTATGAACTTTGTTTTTTCTCGAGTGCTGTTTCACTTGGAACATACGGATCCGCATTTTGGCAGCTAAGTAGTTTGGCCTACATTTCGGGCCTCGCCATTTTCTATCTTGCTGTCAAATGGGAGTCATTGGACGGTCCAAACCCGGCTAAGAGAATCACCAGAGCGAACAGGGATTCATTCTGGGGATACCCTGCCTAAGCTATCGATAATTCCCTTGCATCTACTTCTAGCCGGTTCCAACTTGAAATGCAACAGATTATTACTTTGTCGTTGTTTATTTTGTGACATCGCCAATATAATAACTCTGTAAATAACTTCAAAAGTTGGTTTGTTTTACTTATTAAATTTATTTAAACTATCATGGCTCTTACTTGCTAAGCAACTCATCCATTCGAGTATAAACTATCACCTGTCTCTGTTGTGGGAACTGAGATAGCTCTCCGTTCTCACTCGCACCTGTTCCCCCGCCATCCATGTTTCTTAATCCACCATTCCCTTTTCATTACTATCCGTCTATTGCAATTTTGACGGACATATGTACACACATATGTACGTATAAATTTACACAACAATATGGCAAATAAATTGTAAGAACATATAATTTTGACTTAAATAAGTAAACAACTAAATGAAAATGGACGTTTTAAAATACATTAACAATAGAGAAATATTTATAGAAGTAAGTAGGAAATACACTAATTTATTTTAAAGATGTACAAAACTTTCTCGAGGTTCTTCATTTGGCTGTAGATTACCTAATTGCGAATATTGATGATAAACAAACTCTGCGTTCTTGTCACAAGTATGGATTTCAAAATGCAAATGACTTGCTTTTAGTCACACAAAAGATGTCAAATTATTACAAGAATTTCAATTTATTGAAAAGTGAAAACATAACTACATTTTCTTACCACACTCTAGAAATGTCCAGGCTTATGCCAATTGTAGTGTCTGCACGTCAGCCTGAATTGAAAAGACATATAAATTATTGGGAGTACTCAAAAAATCACAACATTGTTGAATCTTTCGGATGGGATGCACGGCTTATATTAGGTGACGGAAGCTATGCCCAAAATGTTAATCAAATAACAACATTGAGTTTGCGTTTCGTAAGGTTTCAAAATGGATTGGTTCTTGAAATTAATAATGTCAAGTTAAATGATTTAATTTATTTACTAGAAATATCGTTAACTGAAATTAAAAATTAGGAAACATAAAATTGTATTAAATATAAAATAAAAATTGATAAGAAAAATGGTTGGGAAGACTTAAAGAATTTTATTTAAATTTAATTTAAAACAAAAAGAAGCTCTATTGTAGAGTGTCGCGACAAAAAAATATTGCTTACTGTCTTACGCAAGTTTAAACCATTAATTTTTCTAGCAGAAATTGACGCAGCGACACCATATGCCAGAAAAATCACGTTTAATAGCTTATGGTGACGACACTACCTAAGTGTTGGCTCATAACCTACATTTCTTACTGAATCGCGTAATGATGTTCCAATTTGAAATATTTTTGGGAAATCGATTTATATTGGCACAAATATGTTATAGGAGGTCAATCGAATACATACATTTTAATATTATGGACCGCAGTTCCAGTTATTAGGTTCCGCAGTTTAAGGGCGTGGCAGGATGAAAACTGTTGATGAGTTGCAATGGCATCTCTTAAATACGTATTCTTAAGCACATTTCTAGCCCTTATACATAGTTCCCGAGATTTTTGCGTCGCTAGATGTGAAAATATCGCATTGGGGGAATCATAAAAACCTTCATGCTTAATTTGACATATCATACATAACACCTATAGTTACCGAGATACTTTTTCTACAAAAAGCAAAAACCGTCTTTTGAGCTTGGTAGGCGTAAGAGTGGGTAGGACCCGATAATGGTACCACTGTAAGATGTGCTGGCATCATAAGATTATACATACTTAATTTGAACTTTCAAGCTCTAATAGTTCCTGAGACTTAAGCGATTTTAGTTTTTCGTGATTTGTGGGCGTGGCGGGATAAACTTACGCTGCGTATGGACCTCAAGAATCTTCACGCTTAATCTCAACTCTTATCTCCTATAGTTCCTGAGATCTTAGCGTTCATACGGCCAGACGGACGGACAGACAAGATAGGCTAGCTCCGAGATTTTCGCATTTTTGGTTTTTCGGGTTTTGAGCGTTTGAGTGGGCGTGGCTTGATCGTAAGAAAAACAATTTGCATTGGGAGTATCATAGAAACCTACATGCTTAAATGGAGCTATCTATCACTTATAGTTACCGAGATATATCCTTTTCTACATAATGAAAAAACCCTCCTTCGAGTTTGTGAGCGTTAGAGTTAGAGCTGTAAGGAATTCGATTTTTAAATCGATTTAATAGATCTTTTTGGATGAGCGAAAAAATCGATTATTTTTTTAGGGAATCGATGCATTGACAAAAAAAAATTAAGTAAGCGAAAAAATTAACAAATATTAATCACTTCCAGAATCAGTGTGTTGGTGTTGAGGAAAGAAAGAGAGATATTGATAACTATGTTCGTTTTTCAAATAAATAATGTAGATTGTTGTCCGCGCTGGATGCATAGTCACCTTGAAATCCAAAGACGTAGACAAGCTTATACTCACAATTTAAAACCAATGGGTTTTAAATAAATAACCAGAAACATTGACCTCAAACAATTTTTCTTAACGAATTTTTTTTGGTTTGTAACTGTAAAATCGGTGCTTTCCTTACCATTTTTAAGCAAAAAGTACTTTTTCATTAAACGATTTTTTTTTCGTTTTCGATGTTAAATAGATTTCATGGATGTGCCGAAATGCAACGGATTCTAATACGGCATACTGCAAGTCTACATTAAATCCAAAAATTGACATGATTCGTGCACATGGAAAAAACAAAAACACATATGTACATATGTTGCCATGATTACAAGATACCTGATAGTTGGCTTATCAGGTCGAATGCAGCATATGAAGCACAGGGAAGCGAAATTGAAATAATAAACGAAATAGACAACATTTTATTTGAAATAAATGAAAACTAAGAAAAGTATGTTTGTCATGTTTTTTGTCCTAAAAAATCTCTGTCCTTGTTTTGTCATTTTTTTTCGATCATCTGTCCATTTTTTGTGTTGGGGCGCAGGCATCACTGTCTACAATATAAAATATACCTAATACATCAGGTAAAAAGAATGCCATATTTTGAAGCTGTGATCCTCCGAAATGTAGTAATTTGCCCATGTGAGGCCTTATAACCTACATTTCTTCATAAGTAGCCAAATAATGTTCCGAGTTCAATATTTTTTGGTAAATCGATAGATATTGACAAAAAAAATTTATATAAATTGGTTAGATGTGGTAAAGGGAAGTAGGAAACTACTTGCTTAATCCTAAATATGTACAAATATAATATGTAAGTTAATTAAATTATGGGGTGGTAATTATATTCGATTATCCCTCGCTGCAGTCAGTGGTGTCGCAGGCGTTAGTGAGATTATGGTGTAGTAGGCTGTAGTCGTTCCTGGCGGTTGCCGAGGGGGTTGCTTCTACTTGTAGGTAGTAAGCGATGATTGGGTCCCTGGCGGTTGCCGAGGGAAATTCCGTCTATGACAGGAATCATGACCCTTGAGGCGCGGTGACCAATTCAATAAAATGAATTTACTATTTAACGGTTGTGCCGGAGTATAGGACAAATGCCTTCATTATTTAATGGATTGCAAGTAAAAACTGAAACTTAAAGCTAACAAAAATGTATTTCATAGCGGCCACGCAAATAGGCAGTGTTCGCCGGGTATGCATTCCCCCTTCAGGAATGAGGCTGTTCTTGGCCGCGGTTCTTCGGGCCTGAGTGACTCGCCGATAGGTCAAGCCGATGCAAATCAAAGCGCAGCAAATTGCTTCCGCTATGAATACCATCTATTTTAATTGATGGTGGTCGATCTTCTCCCTGAATTCCGGAAGTCGGTGAAGGTAAGGAAGACTGAGAACGTTACGTTCCCTAGTGACGTTCAGGGAAGGCGAGCTGGAGCCCTCTTCTGGGCTGCGTTATGATTGACCAATCGGGTTTCGTTGACGATGGTACCTTCTGCACAGGTGACGATATGTGTGCCCCTTACATGGACACAGGTGCCATTATCCACACACACGCGAGCCGGGCGATAATTTATAATTACAATCCCCTCATCAACGTTATTAATGGGGTGTAAATCGCTTTGCTGGATCTCGCAATGCGCCATGCCTCCAGCGTGGAGCTCTTGAGCGCATTATTTTTTCGCGCCAGCTGGCAAAATGGAGCTCCTGATGTCGCAGAGCAATTTCTTACTGTGTGGATGTCACCGTCACATTCAGCAATTACGTTGTCTTCCAGTCTGAGTAAGGTGTCGTGATGCGACACCGGGAAAACGGTGATCTTGTTACAGGCCTATTTGATTTTTGGAAACTTAATAAGAAAGTGTAAGATGTTATCGGATTGTAATATCTTACGGTCAAAACATCCCTAATCGCGGTCTCGGTGGGCTCTTCCATCTATACACCTTCTAGGTCTGCATGATCTAAGATGGTAGGGCTAATAACATTAACCTTGGCAAGTCCTACTGTCAGCATTAAACCCTGCAGCTCCATTGTGATCATCCTATTTCGAGTTAAAAGCATCTCGAATAGGTGCACTTTATCAATTTGGGACTTTTTTGCTGACCTCAGAAGTTGGTTGACGGTAGCGGAAATTTTATTAATTTGAATTTGTACTTTGTTGTTGATATTATAATTATAATTTTTTCAAAGTCTTCCGCGTCCGGCGTTCCTGCCACTACTTTCAACGCGGTCTGTAGGAAGTCTAAGCTTCTTGCTACACTATGGGCGACATCAACAACTAAGAGTTTCTGCAGGTGATGCTGAGGGAAAAGGTTAATCATTCCATTAGTTTCATCTATGACACGCCTATATTCTGAGAGATTCGCTGAGTGTTTTACGAACGCGAATTCCTTCCATACTAGAATCCGGCCATCAACGATGGGAATGTATTTGGCTTTTGAGTAGTCCGTGACGCGTGCCGATGTTGCGGCCAAAAGGAAAAGCAGGTATATGGTTGTACACCTGCAATTTGGATGTGCTGTAAATTTTGTTGCAATTGGGTAGCCCCCCAACAAAGCGTGATTAAAAATAAAAAATGGTAGTAAAAACGTATGCCAAGTGGCTAAAATAAAAAAAAAAAAAAGCACCTAGCAAAAAAAAAAAAAAATGGGGGAACGCCAGCAATAGCAACATTGACATTGTTCAGAGAGTTCATTCGAAGATCCTGAGAACAATCACCGGGGCACCGAGGTACGTTCGCAACGAAAACATACACCGCGACTTAAACATTCAACCAGTCAAAGAAGTGATCGCAGAACAAAAGGTAAAGTACTTCACCAAGCTATCGGTGCACCCTAACCCCCTGGCGAGAGGTCTAACAAGGTTGAGCAACCAATCACGCCTTCGTCGCACCCAGCGGCCGACCTGAAGGACGCATAACTAGAATGCAGTCTTAGTATACTGTTAGTTAAATTTGAATGTTAAGATTCGTCAACTTATTGTTAGTCTCAAAATTAAGAGTAGATTCAATAAATAAAAGCAAAGCTATAATAATAATAAAAAAAATTGCTAGAAAACAGTACAATAAAAAATGAAAAATTATCTGGCGAGCGATAGAATAGTCTTTGTGGACCACCCTCCCCTTAACGAGGACTGTGGTCCCCATGTCCTCTTCAACGGTTTTTTCTTCGAATAACTGTGAGAGTTTTTTTCCCAAGCGTCTGTTGGACTTCACTAGGACTTTTTCGCCAGCCTCAAACACTCTATTTTGTCGGGAAGCGTTTTCCCTGTTCCGGAGCTTGTCCTCGACGAGTTTTATCTTGTCCTGTATTTCGTATTGTGGCTCATTCTATTGTGTCCGAACCACGTCGGCCGGCCTCTTGTCGATGACCGAATGATAGATTTGTTATATCTGGACATTAGGATCAGCTCTACGGTATCGCTAATGCCTTTATCGATTTTAAGGCATCTAGCAAGCTCTACCAGAGTGCTGTGGAAGCGTTCCACTTCTCCGTTTGAGACACTGTGGAGGGTCGGCGCATTTGAGATGCTAACGCTGAAGTGGTTTTCCAGCATGGCCACGATGGAGTGTGAGTTCAACGATGGTTCGTTGTCGCAATATATAACCTTGGCCTTAGGGAAAAGGTTCATCATCTGCAGTAGCGCTGGTTTGAGGTCCT